CCCCCGGTAATTCCCTCTGACACCAGGCAGGAGCAGCACCCCCGGGATCACCCCCGGGATCACCCCCAGGTCCTCCCGCAGCACTCAGCGTCTGGAGATCACCGGGTGACGAACCAAGGCTGCTCCGGGCTAGGGCAGGGGCCGTGACACGGGCTGCATCCCTCCCCAGCCCTGCTCCATAACAGCACCCACTCACGAGCAAGAGAAAGAAACCACTAAGATGAATCTGAAAAGCAAACTGGGACAGAGTGACTGACCAAGGCGTGACAGCCGTGCAGCTGAGAGCTCAGCGATGCTGTCTGCAGCCACCCCCATCAAACTCTGCCGGGAAACTTACTGAAAGCTGAAGTATTTAGCTAAAATATTTATTTTCAAATTTCTGCCAAGTAATAGGTAGTTTATGGTTACCACATGCTGATGTGCTGTAGAGCAGATTCTCCAGCAGCTGAACTGATCCTGTTTAGGGACTTTATTAGAGGAATAATTACACTGGCAAGGGATGAAAGAGGAGAACACACCAGAGGCTGTCAAGCCAATCCTAAGCCACATGAGGACCACAAACTCAGCTCCGTGGTGGCAGCACAAAGAAGGAACAGAATTCCTGGTCACAAAGCCAGGCACCAGGAAGAAATCATTCCTACACACAAAAGTAAACACAGCTCCTTGCAAAGCCCCACTGATGCGTTCCAACGTCAGAACAGCAAACATTCCCTGCCGTGGGGTGCAGCACTGAAGGAGCCCTGCTCTGCCACGTCCCGGGCAAACAGGATGTGGCAGGAGCAAACACAAACACAGGCTGCTTCCCTCTGCCACCCTGTGCTTCCAGCACTGCACCTTCCTCCTGATGCTGAGAAATCACCTCTTGCATGGTGGCCGAACGATTTTACTGCTAAATGAGCTGATTAGCCTACTTACTGAAGCTGATAAGGATCATTCTTCTCTAACATTTGCTTTAGAATGTATGGTTTTTATAACAAACGTTTTTTGTTTCTGTTGCTATGGTTTGCACAGTGGTAATGAGCAAGGAGGTAACTTTCCACAGTGTTACATCCCCCAAAATGAACAGTTGATGTTATAGGTTATCTTTCACACACAGAAATTTTATAGGAATCAGCAGCTTTTTAACAAGACTTAATAAAATTAACATTCTTGAAGCTCCCATTTACAGAGTAAGGGCAGCAAGTCCTGTCAGTCCCACAGTTTGGGGGAATAACCATTTAATACTGCTATTGCACAAAAAAGCCAAGGAACTTCTGCCTTCTCTTTTTCCAGTACTGAAGCTTCTGTATGAAAAAACAATGAAGAAACACATCACTGTTTTCTGAGCCCACCATTTCTTTCTAAAGACATAGCAGAAGAATTTTTTTGTAATCCAGGGCATTTAATAAATTAGTGGATGAACTGCTTGTACATTCTCACAGTAAGCACAACTATTTTTCTGACAAGGCAGATTTGGTTGCTCCTCAGCACAAAGATGGTTTACATACAGCAGGAGGTAAATGTTTATCTGGCCACAGATGACGAAGTCAAGTAGAATTTGCTTTTTTCTCCACGTCATCATCATCGTCAACAACCTGAAATCAAATCCAGAAGTAGTTTAGATAAACAGTTTAAGCTCTCAGTCCTGCAGGATTTATTACATTAAATCCCTGCTGGGCCCAAGGAGAACAGCAGTTATTCCACACCACTGAACGACAATGAGCTCGGGAGGAAGGTAAGAAAAACGGGCAATCCAAAATGCCAGGAGGAAATGAGCTTTAATTACAGGAGCAGGTCAAGCTCCCACAAAGGCCAGGAAAACAATCACTCCAGAGATCAGACATTTCATGAGAAAGCCAAAGAATCTGAATTTCAGGGGACAAAGCTCCTTGCTCTTTATCACATCACAAAGGTGCCTGCAATGTGCCCAGCTCTGGGCACAGGACCCTGCAGAGCTCTCCAGCTGACTTGGAAAACCTGCATCCAAACAGCCCTGGTGTTCCCTAACTGCCACCCTGCCCTGCTGGAAAGGGACAAAGAGCTCCTTTTCCACGGAAAAGAAAACCTCAGCCATGTTCCCCGACCCACCTGCTCAACGCCTTCCACCTCAGGGATGTAGAACTGCAGCATGTTCTGGATCCCGCTCTTGAGGGTGATGAGGGAGCTGGGGCAGCTGGTGCACGAGCCCTGCAGCTTCAGCAGCACAATCCCGTCCTCAAAGCCTTTGTAAATAACATCACCACCATCCTCCTGCACCGTGGGCCTGAGGGAACACAGCACTCAGCTTAAAGCTGCTAGAGCTGAAACAGGGCTCCTTCAGAAACTCTCAGTAAAGCAGTATTTAATACTCACAGTAACAGTCATGACAGAGGGATTTAGTCACCATTTCTCTACAACCACCTGGTTCACATTTCCAACAACTCCTGCTCTGCTGGGCTATCTAACACAGAAACTTCATATGTAGGCAAAGCGTTTTTGTAATTAATGCAGCAATGCTTGAAGGAACCACTGAGATTTTAGGGTAGAGAGTGAACACCCTGGGGCAGAGCTCAGCCTGGTTGCCTGGAGGCAATCCTTGCCTCGAACTGCCAATAAATACCTCAGGGGTGTGTCCCCCACGGGTGCAGCACAGCTGTCACCTGTGGTAAAAGCCCATTTATTCCATGAATAAATATGCAGTTCTCCACAATTTGGGCAGGACAGAAAACAGCCCCAACTATAAAAGCTTCATCCTGCTCAGGGGTAGAGGAAGCAGCTCCTGATAAGCTCACCCCACTGTCACGAGCATTTCTGCAGCCTGCTCTCCCTCTGCCAGCACAAATGCCCAGCATTGTAGCTCTGTCCCCATAGCAACATTTTTCCAGACCAAGTTAAAACCATCGAGTTACTCTAACAGAAGCTCTTTATACTGATCTCCAAAATAACTCTCTGAGAGCTACAGTCCTAACAGGAAAATCTGTGAACCTGACACATTTATAAACTCACCACAGCAAATTATCTCCATTCCTGAAAGCCAAAGATCATGATTTAAAATTCCATTTTTCCTACTTGAATTAACTTTTTGAAACGCTACAGAACCTTACAGATGTACATTCCCCCCATCCTGCACCTTGTGACAGCTCCTCTGCATTTAATTTTGATCTGCTGGACAATCAATGCTCTATGTGTAGTCTGGCTGATGGGTAATTTATAAGAATACCCTGCTAGAAAATGAAGGAAGACGCACCACAGCTTCTTGGTGCACTGATGGGTGCAAGGGGAGGAAATTAAAGAAATGAAAAGGTGGGAAAAGCAGAATTTTGGGCAGAAATTGTCTTCTGGTTTCAACATTTAGTACAGATGCTTGGCAAAGATGTTCCAGCTTATTTCTACGTTTCTTGCTTTTTCAGGAA